GGACCCAGGGAGGCGAAGTGAACCGCAGGGGACCCGGAGCTCGAGTCCCGCCCGCCCGCTCCAGGGGGCGACCTGGGCTCTGTTCGGGGGCGTGCAAACGCGGGGAATAATAGCTGCACGTGGCCCGAGGCATGTGCGCGGGCAGTGGGGGGGTGGGCAGGGGATGTTTTTCGTTTGTATATGTACTTGTATATGTCATCCGATCGGATAACACAAATGTTCTTTTCTTGAAAAAAATGAGGGGGGGGGGCTACGAGATCTGGGAGATATCGTGGTGTCTGGCTGCGATATCCTCCTATCATATAGGGAGCCCACAAAGGACGTACGCGCCCAGCTATGTACATGAACACGGCCCCTCGATTCGCGAGACCGGCCGCGTGATACGAACATTTGTGCAATGCGTGCTCTGGAAACCAGCGTGGATTCATGTACATGTACGTCCTTCTTTCGCTCCTGATCATAATTACTCACCCCTGCTTCGATGTCCCAGAGTCATCGTGTTGCTGCAAAGAACGCCGACTAAGGAACGAAAGGGTGTCTCTGGCCACGGCTTGCCTCGGCCACGAGCAGCCCCCCCGACCCGGGTCTGAGAAACACGGCCGGAACACCAGAGCTCCCCCCGAGCCCGAGTTCCCCTCCCGACAAGTCGGGGCTGATAGATTGAAGATCAAAAGAGAGGGCAGAAACTCCACCCCAGAATAATCACCCCGACAAGCGAAGCCGTTTCGTAAACGCACCCCAGGAAGGAATCCAACAAGACAGGGCTTTTAGTAAGCGCCCAAGGCCGTTTAGTAAACGCCAATTGTCCGGTCCGCGGGGTTTTCCTCCCTTGACAAGAGTGCCCGACCCGCCTCGCACACCCTCCGCAGACCGCGGCCGCCAGGCCAAACGTGTACTGTGCTCCCTGGATGTATCTCGCCGCGCGCTCCTGGGCGGGGATCGTTCGAAGCAGAATGATTCGAGCGCCTTGACGGTACTCGGATCAGGGGCGAGTTGAGACAGCGGCGGCGCAACATCGGTCCACGGCCGCAGTCTCAGGTCTAGCCCGCTTTGTCGATCTTCGCGCTAACGCCCGTGACCGGCCCCACCCCTACCACTCTGCCCCCCCCCCCCACCCCACTGCTCACCGTCTTGGAATGGGCCATTCCCACGCGTTCCCAGACGATACCAACGCGGATCATGACGTGACCAGCACCCTCCCACTCTCCCCCCCACGCGCGCTATCGCCAGTTGGTGGAACAATCTGAAGTGCGCGCGGCGGCAGTCCCAGGCTCCCCAGGTCAGGTGTTCTCCATGACGTGGACACCGGGAGGACTGGACCCCTTCGAGGGGGCCAGCTTTTCATCCCGAGCAAAGTTTGGGGGGTCGCGGCCCCCCAAACTTTGCTCTGGGAGGGGGGAGGCGAGGGCCAGGATGCAGAGGATGGGAAGGGCAGGAAAGGCAATGAAGGAGGGAGGTAAGGAGGGAGGGAGGGAGGGAGGATGAGGGGAACGAGGGGAGGAGGAGGAGGAGGAGGAGCAGGAGGAGGAGGAGGAGGAGGAGGAGGAGGAGGAGCTGGATCTCGGCCCCAGGTCACGCCCCTCTGTCGCCAAGGGATGAACAGACTGCCTCCTCACCCTCCTCGGGGGGCGTCCACGAAAGGGGCGTCCACAAGGGGGGGTAAGGGGGGGCGCACCATGGCCAGGCGCGCGTGCGCGGACGAGGCAGGGAACGCGCCCAGAGGAAGAGACGAGGCGCCACGAGTTCAGAGGAAAAGAAGAGGCGCCACGAAGAGGGCAGAAATTCTACCCCCAGAATCTCCACCCCGACCATCGACGCCGTTGGTGAAAAGACGGGATCGAACAGATCAGGGCTGTTCAATAAACGCCCAAGGCAAGTGAGTGAACGCCAATTATCGGGTCCGGGTGTTTTTTCCTCCCCCTTGAATCGTGGCCCGGCCATGAGCCCCACCCTCCGAATCACCGCCCCCCGTCTTGGCCGCCCCCTCCCCCCCTCCCCCCCCTCCTTGCCGGCCACGCCTGCTGTCGCCAAGGGGTGAACAACAACTGTCTCCTCGCCCACCTTCGGTGCACAGTCGGGCTGCTGACAGCAGGAACGCGAACCGAGGAGCGACGCCTCCCTGTGGCTCCAACAGGCAAGCCTGGGTGCACGAGAGGAGGCCCGAGGCACAACCACGGAGAGACCTCCCGAACAGCGAGCCCCCTCCGAGCACGGAGCGGCCCTCGTTCCGGCGCACCGACTCCCTCCCGGGCGCGCTCGCGCGGAGACGCGCCCCGCGGCGGCGCGCCGCCCTCCGCGCCCCGCGGGAGGGGGGGGGGGCGCGGCCCCGCGGCGGGCGCGCCGGCGGCGGGCCCCGCGCTGGCGGCGGGCGGCGGCGGCGCGCCATCCGCGGGCGCGGCGGGCACGGCGGTGAGGACCTGCGGGCGCGCGCGGCGCTCGGCGCCCGGCGGGCGGTGGCGGTGGCGGCGGCGGCGGCGGCGGCGGCACGGCTCGGTCGCGGCCGTGGCGGCGGTGGCCGTCGCGGTCGTCGTCGCGGAGAGCCGTCGCGGTCGTGGCCGCTCGGCGCGGCGGGCGCGGCGGCGAGGACCCGCGGGCGGCGCGGCGCGCGGCGCTCCCAGGCCGCGCCGAGGCCCAGCAAAGACACGACGGATGTGCGTGTATGTGTGTTCGCTACAGTCAAAAACCCTAACAAGGACGCGCGGTAAGGACGCAAGACCCTTGGAGGCCGAAGTTGGGATTTCTGGGGCGGCGGACGACGAAAACCTCAAGGACGCAAGAGCAAGGAGGAGCAAGGACGCAAGGGTACCCTGAGCAAAGTCGCGCGTCTGTATTAGGGTTTTTGACTGTACGTTCTGTCGCCTGGGGCCCTCGCAAGGCCTCGGGACGTCGAAACACGGCTCGGGGCGAGAGGAGCCGGCTCGGGGGGGGACGGGTCGAGGCCTCGGGCCTCGTGGGTCGGGATTTCGGCGGGCGGCGATCGTGGTCGTGGCGGCGGTGGTCGCGGTCGTGGTCGCCGCGGTGGGTCGTCGCGGTCGTGGCCGCTCGCGGCGGTGAGGGCCTGCGGGCAGCGCGGCGCGCGGCGATCCGCGGGTGTTCTGTGCAACGGCGCTGACGGAGCCCAGGGGCACGACACGGCGGACGAACGGCGGACGACGGACGAGCGACCGGGGGCAGCGCTGGGGAGGGGAGGGCGGGAGGGGGGCAGGGGAGGGCGATCGGTGGGCGGCGCGAGGTCGTGGCCGTGGTGGCGGTAGTCGTCGCGGTCGTGGTCGTGGGGATCGTCGCGGTCGTGATCGTTGCGGTCGTTCCTCTTCCTTCTCATCCACCTCCAGCTTATCCTCGTCCTGCTCATCTTCCACATTACCCTGGTCATCCTGTCCTCTTTGACGGCTCCTGCTCACGCTACCTCCTCCTCGTCCCAGTCTCCTACATCCTCCTCCTCCTCCTCCTCCTCCTCCTCCTCCTCCCGCTGCTGCCTTCGTTGCTCTGAACCAGGAGGACGGGGGGAGGATGGTGAAGGATACTTGAAGGAATCTTGCGAGGAGGAAGAGGAGGAGGCGGAGGAAGAGGAGGAGGAGGCGGAGGAAGAGGAGGAGGAGTGCGTCACCTTCTCCTTCCAGCGCAAAGCAATTCGTCCGCCTTCACTTTGGACCTTATTCTCTGCCCTGGAAGGGGACGGAAACCCAATGCAACCTGGCTTACTTGCCCCCGCTGGGAGCACTTCTGGTTTCACACAATCATTCGACCTGCCGCCTTGCCAACATGGTTTCCTTCTACTGGGCACGTGGCCGCAATGTCGTTCCCGTTAGGTGTTTACCACAAGGGGAATGCCGGTCCCGAGAGAAATGGGTCCTGGACCCAGATGGCGTTCACCGGGGACGCGCTTTCGCTGTGAGCTGCTCGTGTTTGGACAACTGGGGGCATCCATGAACACTGCGAAGGACTTCGAGACAAACTGCAGCAACAACGGCGACAACCTCACCGGGCACCGACTCCCTTTTGGACGCCCGAAATGGGTACGGAAAGAATCGGCACAATGCCCAACAACAGATGTTGTCCCCAACCAACAGCTGCCGCTGTTGGGCAGGCGGCCTTCTGTCTCGAATGGGCACAGGCCGCGGCGACACCGACAGCGAGTCCTGTTCAAAATGAGCAGGAATTGCTGTTGGGCATTGTACCCATTCTTTCCGCACCCATTTCGGGCGTCCGACTCCCTCAGGACGCCTCAGCTGCCCCGGGAGCTCGAGGAGGAGCCGCGCAGGACGCTGGAGGACAGGGGCAGGCAGAGGAAGGACCCCGCCCGCCGCTGGGCGGAGGAGGGCGGGCAGGAGGAGGAGAAGGAGGAGGGCGAGGAGCAGGAGCAGGAGCGGGAGGAGGAGGATCCTAAGAGGAGGAGGATCCTAGGAGGAGGAGGATCCTAGGAGGAGGAGGAGGAGGAGCCCAGCGTACGAAAGGAGGAGGAGGAGGAGGAGGAGGAGGAGGAGGAGGAGGAGGGGGAGGGGAAGATATATTTCCTTCTCGTTTCAACACTCGCGCACACCATCCGTCAACCAGGTCAGATGTCCAATCGCGGGCCGGGAGGAGGAGGAGGAGGGGGAGGAGGAAGAGAAGGAGGAGAAGGATGAGGAGGAGGAGGAAGAGGAGGAAGGAGGAGGACCTCGGCTGCCCCCCTGGCGTGCCGCCAGTGCTCACAACGACTGCGCATCCCCCCGCTTCTCCGCGACCCGCCCCCCGCTCGCCCCGGCCTGGTCTCGCGCCAGGGACCGACCGTGGCAACCGCCACAGTCGGCGCGGAACGTGGCCACACGTCCTCCTCCCCCCCAGTTGCTCCCCCAGCGCCACCCCCCACCCCAAGGGAGAAGGGGGTCCGGAACTTGCCAAAGACGTCGAAGCCGTCCTCCAACCTCCATCCTCCTAATCCTTCTCCCTCCGCCTCCCTCCTCCTCCTCTTCCTGCTCTTCCTCCTCTTTTTTCTCCTCCTCCTCCTCCTCCTCCTCCTCCTCCTCCCCCTCCTCTGCTTCCTCCGTCTCCTCCCGTTCCTCATCTTCCTCGTCCTCCCTCCTCCACCTCCTCCCTCCTCCACCTCCTCCTCCCTCTTTCCTCCTCCTCGCCCTCCTTCCTCTCATCCTTCCGTCCTTCCTTCCTCCTTTCCTTTCATCGTTCCTTCTTTCCTACTCTTCCTCCTCTTCTTCTTGTCCTCCACCCTCTTTCTCCTCCTCCTCTTCTCCTCCTCCCCTTCACCTCCTCATCCTCCTCCTCTTCCTCCTCCTCCTCCTCTTACTCCTCCTTCCTCCTCCTCCTCCTGCTCCTGCTCCTCCTCGCCTCCTCCTCCTCCTCGTCCTCCCCCTCCCCCTCCCGTCTTCCTCCTCCTCTTTTTCCATCTTATCATTCCTCCTCCTTCTCTTCCCGTTCCTCCCTCCCTTCGATCGTTCATTCCGTCTCCTGCTCCTCCGTCCCACTTCTCCTCGTCCTCCTCCTCCTCCTCCTCCACCGCCTTCTCTTCCGAATCCTCCTTTTCCTCCACCTCCTCTCCTTCTCCTCCTCCTCCTTCTTTTCCTCCTCCTCCTCCTCCTCCTCCTTCGCCTCAGCCTCGTCGCCTTCTCCTCCTCCTCCTCCTTCTCCTCCTTTTCATCCTTCTCCTCCTTCTCCTCCTCCTCTTCCTCCTTCTCCTCCCCAAAGGTCTCGAGCCACAACGTGGCCCACATGAGACAGTATAGTGCTGCCAGAAAAAAAAGCCTTGGCCCCTGAGAGACGCATAAGACCCTGAGGTCGAGAGCATTCCTGGTAATACCAAAAAGAACGTCAGAACTCCAGAAGTCCGACTCCTCTCTCGGAAATGCGCCACCTCCCCTAAGTCTGGACCAGCACACAAACGAGACCACCCCACCTGCAACCGTTTGGTGGATTTCTGACACTCTGCCCCGCGCCGTGTTGGTGTGTTACCGCCAAGTCATCGGGGCGGAGTCGGGCAGCTGCCGCGCAACGCAGGCGCCGAACATCGCGCGCACACCACTCGCAGCAGCAGCGCCGCGGGTTTCACCTGATGGCCGCGCGAAATTCCCGCGCGCAGACTGTGCAACGCTTGCGTCGGCAAGCGTACAGTGGCGCTGTTTGGCCGGTGCCCATTTTGGCACCCGTCGTCCAACTCTCGGAAGCTGGGCGAAGGTTGGCAAATCCGTGGCTGCTAGAACGGTATCCCCGAGGAACAAAACACACCTTCCCAGAAGAAAACGCAGCCCACCAAATAGTAAACGGGCTGCTTGCCGGAATAAAAAAGAACATGTCCTGGAGCTCCGTTTGAGCAGCCACGGGCACGTTAGCCAGCCCTCGCCTGGCCTCTGAAACCCAGCGCCGCGATGTGTGCGACATGTTGGCCGCTGGCGTACGTCAAAACACGTTGGCCGCTGGCGCCGCCGCAGGAGCCCTGGGGTGGGGGCAGGGGGCCGACGGGGGGCGGCCGGGAAAGGCGCGAAGGGGCCGCCGGGGGGGCCGCTTGCCACACCGTGGAGGCCCGTTCACAAGAAGCCTTCCACAAGAAATGCAACCCTGAGATCCCAAGACGTCCATAGATTTCTGGTGTGCGAAAGTCACGCCTTGCATCGCAAACCCATCGAAACTCCAGACACCCAGGGCGCTCTGGAGGCAAGCAGGGTACTTCTTGGCATGGGCCCCCACTGTATTTGGGGGGTGGGGTGGGGAGCGGGCCGCGGGGCCTCGACGCGTAGCACAACATCCGGATTGGCTGATTCTGTTCGTGGTGCGCAGACCATGCCTCTTGTATAGCATACGCTCTGGCCCACGATTGGACGTCTCAGGCCAGCCGAGCGAGTCCCGCAAATGCCGGCCTCCCCTCCTGGGATCGCGCGGGCCATGCCAGGAAGGATGCTCGGCGCCTCTGGGGGACGCCCGAGAGGGCAGCGGGCCGCCGGGATCCATCAGATCACCGTCGCGGCGCCGAGCCAAATTTCCCCTTCTCGCGCGCGACTCGACGCCCGCATCTCTGGCGATACAGGCAGAGCCAACATCGCGCGGCGACGCCGTCCAAACAGGCGGCGAACAGACGCAAACGAATCAGGTTGGCAGCGAGGTGAGCCCAACCAGGACATCGAAATCACAGGGGGGCGATGGCTGTCGAGCACGGTCGCCATCGTGCCGTCGCGGGCCGCGAGGCATCACCAGAACGCGCGCGCATCGTGGTCTGAAGAATACAGAATAGAAGGCCGTAGGTGGGGTGGGGTCGTGTAAGTCTTGGTCGAAACTCCTCCTCCTCCTCCTCCTCCTCCTCCTGCTCCTCCTGCTCCTCCTCCTCCTCCTCCTCCTCCTCCTCCTCCTCCATCCTCTCCCTGATAAACAACTCCTCCCTGTCGCGCCCGAGGACGTGGCAGTAGGACGGGCCAGAGGTTTCCGTGTCTGCTCCAAGCTTGAAGCCTGCAACACTTTCATGAATGGAGGGCGGGTCGCTTTGAAAAAAAGCGACGGCCGCCTCGGTGTCGCGCGCGCCTGTCCCAAACAGATGCAACAGCGAAACGGACGGAGGGCGGCCCGTGTTCGTGTGGCGATTCTCGCTCCGGCGCCGCGCACATGAGTCTTCTCCTCCTCCTCCTCCTCCTCCTCTCCTCCTCCCTCCTCCTCCTCCTCCCCCTCCTCCCCCTCCTCCTCCTCCTCCTCCTCCTCCTCCTCCTCCTCCTCCTGATCAAGAATACAGGGCGATCTGCTTCAACATGTGACCGACGCTTTTTAGCGCCGCACACACGGCCGACGCTTTAGCGCCGCACACACGGGTCAATTGTCCCGTTTGAACCTGTCGCAGGCTGCGATGGGTGATGGTTCTGTGGGTGATAGCGGAGATGGTGAGAAGGGTGGTGGCTATGTTAGATTGGATTATGGTGATGGTGAAACAGACGGTGGTGGTGAAGATATGGTGACGGAGATGGGGAACGATGATGAGGCTTGATGTTGACCCGCGATCTTGAATAGTGGGAATGGTGTTTTGGCACGACTGAGGATACTCAGATGGTTGGCAATGCAGATACATGATTGTGGGGCCATCCGAGCAAGGAACTTGGAGAGAGAGTTTACTGAAACACCGTTGGCGCGCAGTGAGGATTGCACTGGTCCACCTCCCTCGCAAACCTCCTCGCCTTCGTGGCCGCCGCCGCCGCCATCGCCCATGCAATCGTCCTCGCCGTCCTCGTCAACGCTGTCGCCTTCGCCCTCGCCGTCGAAGACTCCGCAGCAGGGGCGAGTTGAGACAACAACATCTCCAATCGGTCGCCGGATCTCCCCTGGGGCAAACACGTACAAATTTGCCGAGCTGCGCCCAGCCGTGGCGACGGGGGGCCACCCCGAAGGCCAGGTGCCGTGGTCTCATCTCGCCATCCTCTGACAATTCTCCTCGTCGTCCTCGTCGTCGCAGTCGGCGTAGCCGCCGCCGTCGTCGTCGTAGTCGTCGTCGTCGTCGTCGTCGTCGTCGTCGTCGTCGTCGTCGTCGTCGTCGTCGTCGTCGTCGTCGTCGTCGTCGTCGTCGTCGTCGTCGTTGTCGCAACCGCCGCCACAGCCGCCGCCGTCCTCGCCGCCGTTCTCGTCAACGCCGTCGTCCGCGCCCTCGCCGTCGAAGATTCCGCAGCAGGGGCGATTTGGCGAATTGAGACAGCGACAGCTCAAAATCGGTCCCCAAACCCCTCCCGGGGCCCAAGCGTACCAGTTCTCCGCACTGCGTCCAGCCGTGGCGACGGGGGGCCACCCCGAAGGCCAGGTGCCGTTGTCTCAACTCGCCATGCTCAAACAATTATCCTCGTCCTCGCCGTCGTCGTCGCCGCTGCCGCCGCCACCGCAACTGCCGCCGCCGCCGCCGCCGCCAGCGCCGCCGCCGCCAGCGCCACCGCCAACGCCCACGCCGTCGTCGTCGTCGTCGTCGTCGTCGTCGTCGTCGTCGTCGTCGTCGTCGTCGTCCGCGACGTCGTCGTCGTCGTCGTCGTCGTCGTCGTCGTCGGCGTCGTCGTCGTCGCCGCCGCCGCCGCCGCCGCCGCCGCCCCCGTCGTCGTCATCGTCGTCGTCGTCGCCGGGGTCGCCGCCCCCGCCGCCGTGGCCCTCGCCGCCGTTCTCGTCAACGCCGTCGCCCGCGCCCTCGCGGTCGAAGATTCCGCTGCAGGGGCGAGTGGAGAAAACGACGTCTCAAAATCGGTCCCCTGACCCCTCCCTGGGCCCAAGCGAAACAGTTATCCGAGCTGCCTCCGGCCGTGGTGACGAGGGCCCCGCTCGAAGGTTAAGTGCCGTTGTCTCAACTCGCCCTCCTCTGACAATTATCCTCTTCAACCTTGTGGTCGTCGCCGCCGCCGCCGCCGCCGCCGACACCGCAACTGCCGCCGCCACCGTCGTCGTCGTCGTCGTCGTCGCTGCAGCCGCTACCGCCGCCGCTGCCGCCCCCGCCGTCGTCGTCGCCGCCGCCGCCACCGCCGCCGCCACCGCCCTCGCCGTCGTCGTCGTCGTCGTCGTCGTCGTCGTCGTCGTCGTCGTCGTCGTCGTCGTCGTCGTCGTCGTCGCCGCCGCCACAGCCGCCGCCGCCGCCGTCGTCGTTTGCCGCCGCCCCTGCGCCGACCAGCGGCCCGTCGGCCGCCCGCAGGCCCAAGTCCAGCGGCGAGTCGGAGGGCCGCACGCTGGTGCCGCGGTCTCCCAGGCCGCCACCACTGGAGGCCCCCACTGGAAGCCCGGGCTTCCGAGCCCCCCCCCCCGAGGCCGAGAACGGCGACGGACCCGAGGCGCGAGGAGGTCTGGTGAGGGGGGCCCGTCCCCACCCACCACTTCCCTCTTACCCCCCCAAGGAGGGGGGGGAGGAGGAGCAGGAAGAGGAGAACGAGGAGGCGGAGGAGGACGAGGAGGAGGGGAGGAGGAGAATCCACCTGAGCGACGACCAGAAACGGGTCGGTCTTACGCGAGATAGCATAGCGGCATTACGCGGTGGCTTACGCGGGCCAGCAGCGCGGCAAGCTACGCTTGAAACGAGGGCTCTTGCGCGCGAGCTTACGCGGGCAGCTTACGCGCAAATGTTGGCGAAGACGACCAAATTGTTCTTCGTCGCGCACCTCAGGGCGACGAAGTCTACACATCATAACCATTGCTACCTGGCCAGGCCCATCCTGAATCCAGGAGCTGTGTCTACGCCTCCTGGCCAGGCCAGGAGGGCGTGGCGTATACACCGCTGCTGGGTTCAGGATGGACCTGGCCAGGGACCGCATTGGAGGCGCGCGTCCGACCTGAACATATAGTGTACCCATCTTGTAGTGTATCGTTTCCCGAGCGGTGTGGCCAGAAAGCGCCCGCCACGACGCATATACTACAAGATTTCTCGGTGCGCGCGTCGCCCCTGGGGGGGCGACGCGCACATAGTAGAAGTAGGTTGGGGTGACGCCGATGAACACGTTTCCTTCCCCCACTCCTGCGCACAGGACGCCACAGCCGACGCAGCCGGCGCCGACGACAGCGCCGCCGACGACCGCCGTCGTCCGACGGGCGGGCGGCCTGGCAGCGCCGACGGCGGGAGGCGGCGTGGTGGCAGGGGGGGGGGCAAGATCCAAGGGGGAACGTCGGACTACCTGTCAGACCACCCCAATGATGGGCCTGTTTTCCACCACCAACAGAAGTTGGAGGGAGGAAGGAGGTGGAGGACGAGGAGGAGGAGGAGGAGGAGGAGGAGGACGAGGAGGACCCCCTCCCCCTCCAACTTCTGGTGTTGGTGGTGGAAAATAAGCCCATCAACCCAACCTGACCAAAGGACCCACATTTCGGGTTGGGTGGGGGGGTACGGGCTCCACGTGTTTTTTCAATGTTCCCCCGCCCCCGCCACTGGGAATGGAGGGCAGATTGGGGCCGTCGGGCTGGTTGGGATGGTTCGGTGGGTGGGGAGCGTCGAAATGAATCGGCGGTGCACGCCAACATCTCGACGGCGAGCTCGGGAGGGAAGTGAAAAGGAAGAGGCCTTCTCAGAAGGCGGCGGGGCTTCTCAGAACACCTGCGGCCTTCTGAAACGCGTTCCTGCGTTTTTGGGGAAGGCCTATGACACTTCTCGGACGGCCAGGGGCCTTTCCGAGCCTTCTGAGAAGGCCCGCCCCCCCCCCATCCCCTTGCTTCCCCCCCACGCGCGCCGCCGAGACAGATCGGCGATGGGCCCCCGATAGCGGAACTGCACGTGCAGACCGGCGTTCCACTGCTGGCAAAGCAACTGCTCGCAAAGGTCCAGGATCCGCCGCGGCGGATGTTTGAACCGCTGCGTCGAGGCAAGCATGTGTTCTTGCTCGGACGTTTGCGAGGGGGCACTCGGCGAGTGGTGGAACGCGCTCGGTGAGCGCGGGGCCCTCCAGGGGGCAGCCTGGGCGACCACGGGTGGCTGGTGCCGTCGCTCCGCTGGAAGAGGGCCTCGCTGCGCTCGACGCCTCGCGCCCGCGGGGGCTTCGGGGCAGCGGGGGCGCGCGGCCGCCCCTGCTGCCAGTAACTACAACACGTGAAATAACTGCGTATCCAATTCGCACATTGATGTTGATTGTACGGGATTTCCAGAGGCAACGTCGTGGGGCCGCGGAGGCTTACCAAGGAGATATGAACAACTGGTAACACAAGCAACTTGGGCTTTCACATGGAAACGTAGTACGACAACCCGGACAACCTGAGACTATCGCTGTTAGTACGGTGCTGATCCGCCACAATCGGATCCTTTTGTGGTAGCCCGTGCAAGACGATTGTTGTTTGTGGCGACCTTACAACATTATTCAAAGTGCGGGGCACCTGCAGTGGCCGCCACACTTGACATCGTGTGGCGATCTTGCACACGGTGTGCAAGTGTGCAGGGTGCAGGCAACCAGGATAGCGACAGTCACAGGCTTGCCTGGCTGTTCCATGTTCCCATGCGGAAGCACTACTGGCCATCGCTCGGACGTCCATTCCCTGTGTTTTTTTTCGGTTTCGTGCGTGTTTTTGCCAAACGATCAAGGATGCTCCTCGATGGTCCTCGCCGAAGGAAAAATGCACACGTCCGAGCGATGCCAAGACTCATCCTTTCTGGCGGCTCCCGCCTGTCCTGCTGCCCCCGGAGCCGCCACCGAGATCGCTGTGAGGCCGCGGAGGCTTACCAGGAGCACGACACAAAGACACGACAAACACCAGGCAACACACGACTCGCATGGGAGATCTGGCAACAGCTGTGGCAACATGTGACTCTCGCTATGTTGTTGTGCAGGCCCCCCCTTGCTTGAACACCGTTTTGCAGTAGCCCTTGCACGCGAATTCCCTTTGTGGCGGCCTTCAACAAGGAATAAGCGTGGGGAACAGCAAAGGCCGCCACACTTGAAATCCTTACGCCGCAGCCTTTATACACGGATTCCTTACGTGGCGGTCCTGCACAAGGATGTTAAGCGTGAGGGATCTGCAGCCACGAAGAAATTCCTAGTGGTGTCAGGCCCCACACACCTAACCTGTGACTGTCGCCAGTCTGTCGCTGCTCTGAATAGTGCCAGTCACAGGTTGTCCCAGCGATTTCTCATGTTTCCATGTGAAAGCACGGTGTTGTGCTTGTTGTTCCTGTGTTCTGGTTCACGTGTTCCTTGTAAGCTTCTGCGGCCCCACGGCGATCTCAGTGGCGGCTCCGTGGGCCGCAGAAGTTCGCCAGGAACACATAAAAAGCCAGGGCTTACAATACGAACCACGTGTATTCACATGAAGATTAAGAAATCAGACTAGGCAAACATGTGGCTGCCTCAATGTTATTGGGTGCAGATCCCCCATCGGTCAAATCCTGTGTAAGATCGCCACACGAGGAATCAGTGTGCAACTGCTGCTACAAAAAGATTTCAAGGCAGCCACTGCAGATGCCCCACAATAGAAATTGTTGTGGAAAGTCGCTACGAAAGGAATCCCCTTGTAGCGGCTACCACAACAGACTTTCATGTGGTCAGGATCTGCACCATAACATAGCGAGAATCGCAAGTTGTCTTATAAGTGTCCTTTTGGTGTCCCGCTATGCCACTACAGCAGGATGTTGCGGAGACCACTGCAGATCCCCCACACTTAAGCAAGGTCGCCACAAAAGATATACGTGCGCACATGATGCTACACAACAACTTCACATGTGGGGGATCTGAACGAAAGAAATGCTTGGTGAGGCTACCTGAAACGACCGTCACCGTGCCCCTAGGCACGGAGTGGGCGTGTCCTCAGGTCCGTTGTCCAATCCCCTGAGCCTCAGTCCTCACTACTGAAGAGTTTCTTATGGGTCCAGATCCCAAATTCCTAAATCTGTTGGGGCTTCCAGCGTGTCCTATGGGCTCCCGTGCGTAATCGTTTGTTGCCCAGGAGGCTTTAAGACGGACCAAAAAGGCCCAAGAGGCGCCTCAAGACCGTCCCAGACTGCCCCGAGTCTCCGAACGACCGCTCCAAGACGCCCAGGAGGCCTCCATAACGCTCCAAGAAGCCTCCAAGAGGCCTCCCAAGAGGGTCCCAAGAGGAAAACATCATATTTTGTCTAGAAAAGTGCATCGAGATGTCTGGCGTTTTCGCCTGTTCGGCTTTGCGGCGCTCCAAGGCGGCCTAAGAGGCCCACAACATCGCTTTAAGACGGCCCTAGAGGCCTCAAAGAGGCTTCAAAACTGCCCAGTATAGCTCCCAGTTCGCCCAAGAGGCTGCCAAGAGGGCCCCCCCAAGACGGCCCAAGAGGCGCCCAAGACGGCCCAAGAGGCTCCAAAGACGGCTCCAGGAGGAGGCCCAGAGGGGGAACCCGAATGGACATTTCGAGCCCTCGGCCACGAGGGGGACCCAAGGAGGCGCCAAGAGGCCCTCAGCAGGCCCCCAAGAGGTCCCAGGAGGCCCCAACGACCCCCAAGCGGCCCCCGAACTGCCCCCGAGAGCGTCCCGAAGAGGCCCCACGAAGCATTCCTGAGAACTCTGACCCAAAACCCAAGCACGGCGGCGGGATGGGGCGAAAGCCATTCGGTCACCCGCGCCCTGTGGTCTTGCCAGAGTGGTGCTCGGCGTGCTGGACGTTCTGAACACTTTGTGGTTCTTTTAGAGCTCACCCTGGGCCTTTGGCACAGCGCGCAGGTCACGCGAAAGACGTGGCCGCAAACGTTGTTCCTGCTCCAAATGGCTCCAAGATGGCCTCCAAGACGGCCAAGATGGTCCAAGGTGGCCTCCAAGACGGCCCAAGAGAGTCCAAACTGTCTCCAAGTTCGCCCAAAACGCCTCCAAAACGGCCCCAGACGGCCCAAGAGGCAACCAAGAGGCCTCCCAGACGGCCAAAGAGGTCTCCAAGAGGTCCCCCAGTAGGGCTGGAAGGGGCCCAAATCATTGATTTCCCTTAGTTTTCTAAGGATATTGCCATGTGCTTCTTTTCGGCCTTCCAACGGCCAAGGACGGCCCAACGGGGCCTCCAAGATCGCTCCAAGATGGTCACAAAGGCCTCCAAGATGACCCCTTATGACGCCCCAAGAAGCCTCCAAGACGGCCCCAAGAGGGCCTCAAGACGACCTAAGAGCGCCCAAGATGGCCTCCAAGACGGCCCTGAAGCGCCCCAAGAGCGCCCCAAGTCGGTTCAGAGAGCCATCCAAGAAAGCTCCCGACGGCGTCAGATGGGCCAGGAACGTCCTAAGACTGCCCCAAAGACCCCCAAAAAGCCCCAACAGGCCCCCCAAAAGCCCAAACTCTCTAGCTGTCCCCCCTCTCCTCCGCGTTTTCGTTCTCCCCCGCGTGTTCACCGAAGGGTTTCCACAACGGCTGGGGGAACACATGGTCCGATAACTTGGCAGAGCTCTGGCCGCCACGTTCGGCCAGATGGGGGACTCCAAAGAGGAGGAGGAGGAGGAGGAGGAGGAGGAGGAGGAGGAGGAGGAGGAGGAGGAGGAGGACGAGGAGGAGGAGGAGGAGGAGGAGGAAGAGGAGGAGGAGGAGGAGGAGGAGGAGGAGGACATGGTCCGATAACTTGGCAGAGCTCTGGCCGCAACGTTCGGCCACCTTGGGGATTCCAAAAGGCAAAGGGCGCCGGTGATTCGCCGTAGGCGTCATCGATAATCCATTCCGTAAGGCCGTCACTGCAGGAATTATCAAGTAAGGTCGTCACAAGGGTCATCACACGTTTACAACAACATAACAGAAACAGCTGGTAGTAATCCCACAATCACCTGGAATGCGACGAGGTTGCAGAATGGGAGCGCAATGAAACGATGAGGAAAGAATTAGGAAAACGATGAGAAGGATCTACCGAAAGTCATGAATAATCAAATGATGAATGAACATATTGAAGACTGAACTGATGAAACCAGTCTGATGAATAAACTTATGAAACACATCGTGCCAATCACGAGGCAAACCATAAAAAAAACAAAGAGCTTGCTGTAATCATGCAACGAGCGGTTCGGATAGGGCAGCCCCCGCATCCTCCTCCTTGTACTGGTCCACCCCCTTCCTCCTCCTCTTCCTTTCCTCCTCCTCCTCCTCCTCCTCCTCCTCCCCCTCTTCCTTTTCCTCCTCCTCCTCCTCCTCCTCCTCCTCCTCCTCAACCTCCTCCTCCTCCTCCTCCTCCTCTTCCTCCTCCTCCTCCTCCTCCTCCTCCTCTTGTTCGTCTTTTTCATTCCTTCGTCCTCCACCCATTCGGAGGCGCACAAACATGGATTAACGATCCATGGATTTGGCGCGCTGTCACCAAATCCATGGATCGGGGGAGGTACCCTCTCCAAAAAGCGGCCGGTGCCGCCTCGCTCGGCGGCGGAAATCCGAGGTTTGCCGTGGAAACGGGACCCGTCGCTAATCCACGCCCCCTTGATCCATGCTTCCGACCCATACTCCTCGTCCTGGACTCTCCTCCTCCTCCTTCCCCGCGTCGACTTCATGGTCATCGCCAATACGTTTCCTCCTCCTCCTGCTCCTGGTGCTCCTGCTCCTCCTCCTCCTCCTCCTCCTCCTCCTCCTCCTCCTCCCCCTTCCTCCTCCTCTCCTCCTCCTCCTCCTCCCTCCTCCTCCTCCTCCTCCTCCTCCTCCTCCTCCTCCTCCTCCTCCTCCCCCTCCTCCTCCTCCTCCTTCTCCTCCTCCTGCTCCTCCTCCTCTTCCTCCTTCTCCTCATCCCTCTCCTCCTCCCTCCTCCACCCGCTGACTCTCCGACCCCAGATGCCGTGCTGGGAACACCAGGCCGACATCATCTTCTCAAACGGCATGCTCAGCCGCATCTTGATGGTGGTCACCTCGGAGGGCGCAGGACACGCACGTCATCACACCGATCCCGGCCCCGGAATCGGTGCCTGCGCCCTCCTGGCCTGGCCAGGAAGGCGTGCGCACCGATCCTGGGCCCAGGATGGGCCTGGTCAGGATCGGTGTCCGTGTGCAGGTGGTGCCCTCCACATCACCCTGTCCCCGTCCTCGCCCTGCGCGAGGACCCTGACCTGCAGCTTCTCCTGCCGGCCGGTCGAGGCGAGACCAGATCGGGAGTGCACTCGACTCTGCTAGGAGTGCGCACCATGCTGCTTCATCTGATTCGTTCGCCCCGATGGATTTAAACTTGTTGCTGCCCTGCAGGGCCGAATTCATACTGTCAGGTCCCGCTCAGTCTGATCACCACCTCGTCGCCGTCGTCCTCCTCCTCCTCCTCCTCCTCCTCCGAAGTGTTTTGACATCCCTATTGTCCTCCTCGTTTGGCTCCTCCTCCTCCTGCTCCTCCTCCTCCACCCTGTCCTCGTCCTCCTTTCCTGTTTTTATTCCCAACCCTCCATGGTTGGCGATTCGTTTTGAATGGAGCACTGCTCGCGCGTCCTTTCTTCCTTCCTCCCGCCTCCTCCCTCCTCCTGCCCTCTCTTCGCCCTCGATGGGGGCTGCGAGGTGCGAAATTGCAGATCTGAGCGAGACCTTGCCGTCCCTGGGGGGCTGCGGACTGCGAAACTGTCGCCACTCTCGAGGGCTGCTGGTGGGTGCATCGGAGTGAGGCACCGCGCAGATCTGAGCGGACCTCGCCGTCCCTCGGGGGGGGCTGCGATCTGCGAAGCTGTCGCCACTTCCGAGGGCTGCTGGTGGGTCCAGCGGACTGAGGCACCGCACAGATCTGAGCGAGACCTCGCCGTCCCCGGAGGGCTGCGCTCTGGGAAACTGTCGCCATGTTCGAGGGCTGGTGGTGGGTCCAGCGGCGCGAGGCACCGCGCAGGTCCGAGCGAGACCTCGCCGTCCCTGAGGGTCTGCGATCTGCGAAACTGTCGCCACTTTCGAGGGCTGCTGGTGGGTCCAGCGGAGTGAGGCACCGCGCAGATCTGAGCGAGACCTCGCAGTCCCTTGGGGGGGACTGCGATCTGGGAAACTGTCGCCACTTTCGAGGGCTGCTGGTGGGTCCAGCGGAGTGAGGAACCGCGCGGATCTGAGCGAGACCTCCAGCGGGGTAAAGCACCGATCGGATATGAGCGAGACCTCGCCGTCCCTGGGGGGGCTGCGATCTGCGAAACTGTCGCAATGTTCGAGGGCTGCTGGTGGGCCCAGCGGAGTGAGGCACCGCGCAGATCTGAGCGAGACCTCGCCATCTCTGGGGGGGTCTGCGATCTGCGAAACTGTCGCCACGTTCGAGGGCTGCTGGTGGGTCCAGCGGAGTGGGGCACCGCGCAGATCTGAGCGAGACCTCGCCGTCCCCGGAGGGCTGCGATCTGGGAAACTGTCGCCACTTTCGAGGGCTGCTGTTGGTGGGTCCAGCGGAGTGAGGCACCGCGCGGATCTGAGCGAGACCTCGCCGTCCCTGGGGGGCTGCGATCTGCGAAACTGTCGCCACGTTCGAGGGCTGCTGGTGGGTCCAGCGGAGTGAGGCACCGTGCAGATCTGAGCGAGACCTCGCCGTCCCTCGGGGGGGGCTGCGATCTGCGAAGCTGTCGCCACTTTCGAGGGCTGCTGGTGGGTCAAGCGGAGTGAGGCACCGTGCAGATCTGAGCGAGACCTCGCCGTCCCCAGAGGGCTGCGATCTGCGAAGCTGTCGCCACTTTCGAGGGCTGCTGGTGGGTCAAGCGGAGTGAGGCACCGCGCGGATCTGACCGAGACCTCGCCGTCCCTGGGGGGCTGCGATCTGCGAAGCTGTCGCCACGTTCGAGGGCTGCTGGTGGGTCCAGCGGAGTGGGTCACCGCGCGGATCTGAGCGGCGAGACCTCGCCGTCCCTGTCGCCACTTTCGAAGGCTGCTGGTGGGTCCAGCGGAGTGAGGCACCGCGCAGATCTGAGCGAGACCTCGCCGTCCCTGGGGGGCTGCGATCTGGGAAACTGTCGCCACTTTCGCGGGCTGCTGGTGGGTCCAGCGGAGTGAAGCACGGTGCAAATCTAAGCGGGACCTCGCCGTCCTTGGGGGGCTGCGACCTGCGGATCTGTCACCACGTTCGAAGGCTGCTGGCGGGTCCAGCGGAGTGAGGCACCACGCAGACTTTGAGTGGGACCTCGCCATCCCTGGGGGTCTGCGAACCTCACGGATGCCGCTCGCAGAATTATGTGCGCCCATGCCGCGTCATCACCTCTGTATAACGTGTGCCAGGCTACTCGTGCCCCGCATTTCGCAGGGGTTGGGTACGTCGCCAGGGTAAGTATCCCTCATCTTCCTCCTCCTCCTCCTCCTCCTCCTCCTCCTCCTCCTTGTCCTCCTCCTCCTCATCATAATCGTCCTCCACCTCACCCTTCTCCTCCCCCTCCTCCTCCCCCCCCTCCTCCGTCCTCCGTTTTCAAGAGCCTTCCACGCACACGTGAGGGAGACCAGGACCTCTTGAGGACATCCAAAGCTTCTGCGAGGCGTTCCCAGGGTCATGGAGCCCCCTGGAGCGAGTAGAGGGTCGACTTACAGAACTAATGTATCCGAAACTTGACGTTTGCCAGAACGTGAGCCAGCGTGGATCCCAAACAGTGAGTCGCTAGCAATATATGGAGTGAGAACTGTACATGCATACACATATATATAGCAAATGTAGTCATACATATATATATATACATGTACATACGTATGTACGTGCACATCTATGTATATACGTGTGGAGCAATACATGTGGTACAATCTACGTGGTGCAACCACTCACTTGCTCAATTTGAAGCTGTCCTCTCCACTGTTCGTGCAAACATCCCACCCTCCCGCCCGCAACTTGGTCGCACGTCTTCTTGAGACCGCGACGGTAGGTACCAAATGGCACTTGGCAGCGACACCGACGCCGACGACGGCAGCGACAACGACGACGACGACGACGCCGCCGACAGCGATGACAACGCCGACGACGACGACGACGCCGACAGCGACGACGACGACGACGAAGACGACGACGACGTCGCCATCGAAGACGACGAGGACGACGAGGGAGGAGGGAGGACGACGGCGGCGACAACGACGACAACGACGAGGGAGGAGGGAGGACGGCGACGACACGAACGACGAAGAAGGAGGGAGGACGGCGACGCCGACGACGACAACGACGAGGGAGGAGGGACGACGACGACGACGAGGACGACGAAGTAGGAGGGACGACGACGAGACGCCGACGACGGACGACGACGACGACGAGGGGGGAGGAAGGACGACCACGGCGACAACGATGACGGGAACGACGACGACGACGCCAAAGAGGACGACGACGACGACGAGGAAAGACAGGACGACGACGGCGACGACGACGAGGGAGGAGGGAGGACGACGGCGACGACGACGACGCAAGAGCGCGAGCGAACGCTTTTGTTGAAAATCAGTGTTTGCGAAACCCTTTTTTGGACACACGATTTTGAAATTCTTCCGAAAGGATGTCGGCATGCGCGCGCGACGACGCGCGCGCGTGCACTTTGTCCCATTTGTTTGCAAAGGGTTCTCGCGACGGCACGCGCGCAAGGGCGTTCGAAAGATTTCGACATGCGCGCGCGTGAAGCCCGTTTGGTAGTATGTTTGAAAATCTTGAACAACCTATGGTTTTCTTAAGATTTCGCAAGAGCGCGTGCGCACTCTCTTTTTAGAAAATCAGTGTTGCGAAACCCTGTGTTTTTGTATGTTGTTTGGAAACTCGATTTTGCAATCCTTCCGAAACAGAAGTTTTTGAATGATTTCGGCATGCGCGCGCGACGACGCGAGCGTGTGCACGTCGTCCCATTCTTGTGCAAGGGATTATTGAGAACTGTTGACTTTTTGTTGCAGAGGATGGCGGCGGGGCCGATACCAGTTTGGCTGGGATAGTATGAACTCCGTTGTGCAACACACGTTGTGCAATACAGTCGGGGCGTTGACCTAAGGAACCCTAAATAAGGAACGAGACCCCTTTTTTTCCACAAGTCGAACTTCGATTTCGTATCGAAAACCTAGGGAAAACCTACGGCAAGCTGCGAAACACTTCAGGAACGCGGAGCCCCTCCCCAACGGAAAGGGTTCCTTCTTCAGCGCCCCGACTGTACGAATTCTGTTGTGCAACACCCGTTGTGCCACACGAACGAAGTGAACCCCGGGAGCTCCCGAACGAAGTGAACCCCACCCTCCCCCGCAGAAATCCTGGGGGGTAGGGGCAGGGTTCGCAGGTGGCCCCCTAGAGGGTGGCGGCGGGGCCGATACCAGTTTGGCTGGGATAGTACGACTTCTGTTGTGCAACACGCGTTGTGCCATATATTTGGTGCAGTCCATGTGGTGCACTGTGGGCGGAGACGAAGCGGCGAGGACGGGGCGCCCACGGCGACCACGGCGCCGCCGGACCGGCACCACACGGCCCAGACGACGGGCGGCGGCGGGGCGACGGCGAGCACAGGCCGCGACGGGGTGTTGACCTAAGGAACCCTACATAAGGAACGAGGCCTCTTTTTACCTAACAGCTCTTGCTGATAGGTTTCTAGTGGTCTCAAAAGAGAGCATCATGACTCCTCAGGGGGGTCTGGGCGGGACCCGGAACGGCTGCCGCCGAAGCCGAAATCGCTTGGGACATCCTCGCAAAATCGCTCTTGGTGCTCCCAGAACTCCATTCCCGGGCCACATTTTGGATGCCCGGAGCCAACTGTAGGCCACTTCGTGCTCTTCGAGTTCCCAGAACTCCATTCCCGGGCCACATTTTGGATGCCCGGAGCCAACTGTAGGCCACTTCGTGCTCTTCGAGTTCCCAGAACTCCATTCCCGGGCCACATTTTGAATGCCCGGAGCCAACTGTAGGCCACTTCGTGTCTTCGAGTTCCCAGAACTCCATTCCTGGGCATTTTTGAATGCCCGGAGCCAACTGTAGGCCACTTCGTGTTCTTCCCCAGAACTCCATTCCTGGGCCACATTTTGAATGCTGAGGCAGGCTGATGCTGCGGCCGAGGCAGGCTGAGGCTGAGGCAGGCTGAGGCTGAGGCCGAGGCTGAAGGCAGACTGAGGCTGAGGCTGAAGCAGACTGAGGCTGAGGCTGAGGTAGGCTGAGGCTGAGGCTGAAGCAGGCTGATGCTGAGGCAGGCTGAGGCTGAGGCTGAGGCTGATGCAGGCTGAGGCTGAGGCAGGCTGAGGCTGAGGCCGAGGCTGAAGGCAGAC